TACGGAAACTAGTGTCTTATTTGGAAATCGGGCGTCTACTGAGTCTTTCATTTGGTTGAACAACACTGTTGGAGCCTTTCTCCGGCGTTAACAGAGGCAATCTATCTGTAGTTCTCATACCTGCTATCATCCCTTTTCCTCGACATCTTTTTGAGATGTCCTTGTTCCCAATCTGTGTGTACTTGTTCTTCCTCCCAAATCTTTTTGCAGACATCGTGAAACATCTTTACAGTTACTTCTATGCCTGAATTTAGTGCTGTGTCTGGTATGCTGTCTGGTCCTGCAGATTTACCATCCCTGATTTATCTAGTGGTCCTGGTGTATTATTCTGTTACTGATGCATTGAAATACACAAGGAGGTCTGTATGTTGCTTTGATGTTCGATGGATTCATAATTTCTGGTGTACTGAAGAGCTCTTCAAAGTGTTCCCACCACCTGTCCCTCTGCTCTTGGACCTCGGTGATTGATTTACCCCGTCTCTTCCTGGCTGTCTACTGTGGTTTACAATATTTGTCTGCAAACGTCTTGTCTGTGTCCTATAGTTCTTTCATACTTTCTTCCTGTGAGGTTTGTTATGCTGTAGTTGCCAGGTCTTCCACATATTTTTGATTGTCGACTCTGATGGTCTTCTTCACTCGTTTGTTTGCTTCTGTATATTCGACTTTTGTCTTGGCTTTCTCTAGTTTTGTTCGGTTGTTTTCGACTACTATCTTCTTGTGTTTCCTATTTTGAATCTTTTCCCGGGTATCGATATAGACCCACTCTTTGAGATGATGCTTCGTGGGACCTATCACCTAGCATGTTCACGTTATCGCTCGTTTATTCTCTTCCCAATTGTTTTTCATGGTGATTTCCTCTTACTGTAATATGTTTTGTAAGGTTTGGAACTTGTTTCCCTGGGCTTTTTTAAATTTACTGAGATAGATTATATCCTCAGCTATCCAGATGATCTATACAGTGTCCCACATTATCGGAACATTCCATGTACCTATCATAATTGCTACTCTGACTTCAGAAAGAGCACCAGCCACTTGGCTATCGAGAACTCTCGGTTTTCTCCATTTTACATCATAGCCTTGCTTCTATTGGAGAGTCCATATGGGTTGATCAGTTTGTTTTTGTCTTAGAATTATAAACAACTTTCTTCTCAGAGATAATTTTGGTGACTCTATGCCCAATCTTATTTTACACGAGTATTGGTCAAAAACCTGACCACATTGGGTTGCATAAGTACGTATGATGCTATTTGAAATACTTTTATAAGATAAACGTAGTCGAAAACTGAATGCTGTGCATAAGTACAGTGTGTTGTTATTGAAGCTCCGCAAAACTAATTAATTCTCATTCATCAGACGTGGTTGTAATAAAAACTCTGAAGCTTTTTTATCGTCAATTTCAAAATAGCTCAATAATTTACATCTCTTTATATGGTCGTATTATTTTCCACAAATAAACATATGTATTTCATAAATTTTAAATCGCAGCCCTCTGAATGTATAAAATACTAATGATCTTTTTGATCGACCCAGTATTGTGAGACATGTTGTCTAAACTCTCCGTCGTCAGCTTTCTTTGCCAGTGTCCGTCAAAGAAGAATGTCAACCTTTTAGAATTACGCTCACCGAACACTATGTCGAGTGGTATTCTTTAGAACTTTGTAATTTCCCCTTTTTTATCAAACCACTTTACAAAAGTTATTTTGAGGACAGTATTTCACTTATCTGACTATCCAAGGTTTAGGCTCCTTCAAGAATGGGCTATAGTGCTGTTTTTTTGACAATCTTAAGCGAAAAACCAAGACTTTTTGGAGTCCGTTTATTCTTATTTAAATCTAAAATGTCTTAGAACTGCGGTACTTATGAGAGGAGGTCAAGCAGTTGGGCGCGTTGACCACAGCCTATCATGGAAGTCTTATCAGTCCTGGTTGTTTGGTATCTGGTGAAATATCGTCAAGGATTAAAAAACTCGGTTGATATTGTCGAATAGTGTCTCCTGTGACGTAAGAAATGTATGAGTCTAGTAACCAAAGGACGAATTTGCTCCACTCTGCTTTATGAGTGTGAAACAATACTATTGAGAATAGAGGATAAACATAGGTTACTGATGTTCAATCAGAGAAGTTTTCAAAATGCTCACCGAATCAGCAAAGCTACCGTTAATCATAAGATACTAGGTGAGGATTGCAAGTCGGTTGATGAGGTAGTAAATATTTATCACTTGAGTACTTGTATCATGTATTCTTAACTACTACCTGCCTCGACGCTCGATGTCTGGCGTTGTAGGCTATAAGAAAGCTATTGGAAGCCAAACCAAGTCATGCCCTCAATCAATAAAGACGTTGACCTCGAACTGAGCTATGCAGAAAAGTGTGGTCCACATGATTGGGGTCCGCGTAATTAATTGTTTGAAACCTGGCAAGGTTCGGAATCGTGTGCAAAACCATAGGTACATCTGTTTCTTGTCTCCCGTCAGAACCTGAGTCTCGAAATGTATTTGCCTATTTTTACACCCTATCTTTTCCATTACCATTGATTCTGTTACAACGTCTATAACCAAGGTATTTTTATGATCCGGTATCGCTATGCTCATTTGGCATGGCGACCAAAAGCGACAAATAAACGTCCCAGATTTTAAGTTTTACATGACTGCTAACCATTATCATGTAAGTAAATCTACTGAATCAAATTTGGTGATTAACTACTAATGCATTTCTGAGATTGGAGCCTAATCTATACACGTATTTGTAATTGTCAAGTTGAGTATTCTTTATTCATGTATCTCAGTGCATAATCTTAACGCCTTTTCTCGTGGTTTATGTTTTTCCATATAATTTCCCAGTTTTTCTCCGTTAAGATCAAAATCATATATAAAAACAAGCGTGACAATTCCTCACAGAAGAGAATTCATGAGCTTATTTATTCTAAGAAAGTGTGATTTTGAATTTGTGTAAAAAACCTTTTGTTTAATTTTTTTCCCAATGTATTTTCGAAGACATATTTGCGTTTGTTATCGCTATCTACATAATATTCTGGAGCACAAAATATTTTGCATGGAAGTAATTAGGAGGCCATTCGTTGTACCTTGATACTCATGTTATGAAAGAATAATTCTAATTTGGGCATTTTTATTAGCTCGAAACAAATGTTTATTCGAAGCTACTGTCCATCCTCGAGTTTGATTTTTTCTTAACTTGCGTTAAATACAAATTGCCAGTGGTAACATTCAATATTTTCGCATTGTTTATTTCGTTGCACTCACAATTCAATACTTTCCTGTTGTTCGACTAAAAAATAATAAATTTCTGTTGATCGTTTTTACATTCAGAGCTAACAGCTCTGGATATATCCTGGGATTTCAATATTGACTCCACCTTGTTAGCTATATAGGAGACCTAGGTGTCCATGGAAGTGATGACAATACAGAACTATCTTATCCTAGACATTATATTCCAGTTGTTGCTAAAGCATATGTTATTGCGGCTTTCGATATCGTATACATTGATTTTAACAGTAAGCTCGTTATAAATATGTTAAATACCCCTAGATCGTGACAAACCAAAGGTCGGTTGTGAAGAAGGTATACGTTCAGGATTCTTTGGTAAAGAAGTAAAACATCCTGCATAACTTCTGTGCCAATCTAAGATATTCACCTCGAAAACCTCAGAATTTTCTGTAATTTTGTTTCTAGAAGCATCTGAATACGCAGATCCTTCAAATGCAGGGCCTTTGTGTTTCCACAGTCGTATGATTGATCAACCAGTCATTCAATAGTCTTAAAAAGTTGCCAACATTGCCAGTTATCTTAATTTATCAATCAATGCTAGGTAGTTGTAAATGGAATTAGCTATTTTAAAAATATCACTTCTGAATATACTTGGGCTCTGCCTTGTTTTTTACTTCGTTATTTTAAATAATGTATCTGTTGAACCACTTCACAAGCTGTCTACCTATACGTTGTAGGCGAATAATAATACGTGGTTCACTAGACGGTGATACTTTAAATACGAACATGGATGCTCTAGAAGTTTAGTAACACATGATGTTTAGGAAGAACGTACTTCAAGTCTTCAAATGTACCGAAAGTGATAACAGTTTTCGCTTGTGATGTGAGTTGGAAAATCAGGCTGAGTAACATAATATCAACCGTTTGAAAGTAATTAACATGGAAGACTTCCATTCGGTACAATTTGTTTTGCTTTACATCTTGTCAGTACTTCTCCAATCGATCAATTTCATACAAATATTGGTCAGCTAATCATTCATATAATTCTTTTAAGCATGAGACCGAACAGTAAGTAAATCAGTGTTACCGCAATTATCAATCTTTGTCTCCTGTTACGCCTCATATCATAAAGTCTTCAAATAAATAACATAAGTGATACAAGCCATTTTCTCACAAATATTTAAGTGAATGATATAGCGTTTTTGGAATCCTGATATCTTAGTTTAGTTTTTCACGCGTTCCAGTCAGTCACACCACAGAACCTGGTATGTATGTACATAGGTCAAAGTTGCCCTGTTAGCACAGAGATGAAATGCCCAAATATTAGAAGTGGTAACAGTATCAATAGTAATAACAAAAAAAACTGGGTATTAATGATACGATTCGATAGGAAAATATAAATCAGTCGAATGTTATTAGGAGTTGGTGTCACTGCAAGCGTCTCATTTCATTAAATGTCGTTAACGTCACGATAATCACATGGTCCTGGTATTCGGCACATATTAGCATGGTTAGATGCAACTGTCACTCAACAGATGCCATGTTTTGGCCTGGTCGTCCCAACATTTCTCCGAACCTAATCCAACAGCTGTCGGGTTAAGCGGTGGTCGATCATATGTAATACGTCCCAATAGCCGGTTGGTGAAGATCTTCTACTACATCAATTGATATATAATGCCCTACTTAATATCCTATTCCTAATCCATGCATCGCTTATTCCGCCGAAGTATTTTGAGATTAATAATTTAAACAGATTCAACCATTTCCTAATTCTGTAATGAATCGTCATCTGCTATCTATTGATCTGAATTTATCACAGTTTCTATCCAACTCCAGTGTAGAATTAAATCTACGAATATTTACTACACACTTGGAAAGTTGTGCAGAATATTCTGGTGAACGAGTGACTCAATTGAAAAGTGTTTGGGATACAATGTCCAGTTATGTCAAGTGTGGCGATTCTAAAGCTCGTTTAAACAAAGGCCGTGCAAGTATATTTTGCGGTGACCTTAATCTGAGGGATTCAGAGGTAGGTTCTGTCGCTACCTTTATCCATAACTTCAATTAACAGTAACTATACTAAGGGTTATTCGATTTCATCATTGTTCAATCAACTTACTATGTATGATATCGTAGAGGATTGTTTAATGAAAAGCTACCGAAAATATTTTCATTATGATGTGCCTGGAAGAAATAATCCTATTCTAGAGTAAATTTTAGACTACATAAAATGAACGTTCCCTCACCCTTTCGTTTCACTTACTAGTAGATATCACAACTGTTTCCACAGCTTTTTGGATACCATACCAAGCTATCTCAGGGGTATAATTCTTTCGGCTGATTAGTTCATTCTCCAGTTGTTCCTGAATTATATCTTTAACTTTCTCGTCATTAATTTGTACACCAAGGGGTTTTCTTGATGTGGCTTTTCTCCGCCTATCAAGATGCAGACAAATATGTGTTTAGACTATAGTATGATCCGGATTCAAACCTGTGCTCCAGAATGAACAAAGCTTCTATCGAGTCCCTCTAACGATGATTAGTGTCGTGATCTATTTGAGTAAATAGTATGGTTCGCCACGTCAGATGACGTTCCTCATGTTTAAAGTTGGTGTTTCTTTTTTAAAGTAGACTGTTATATGAGCATGGTTCGCCACGTCAGATGATGTTCCTCATGTTTAAAGTTGGTGTTTCTTTTTTAAAGTAGACTGTTATATGAGCATGGTTACAGTAGACGATTGCCACTATCTGTTCACTGAGCGGCGACATTGTAGGACCCATTTAGGAGCCTTTTTGGTCCGATTCAGTCAACTTACTCGAGCATTAAAATCACCTATCACTATTACTGCATCACAGTGTTTAGCCTTTTGAAGGAACCTAAATAACCTCATGGAATTCATCTTTTACTTTATCCGAGCTGGTCAATGTGAGCGTAGGTTAAGAAAACAAAAAGGCAAAGGCGTGTCCCCATCATGACTTAATACTATACCTACACCAGCGAGGCCACGGGAAGTAGCAATGTGGTCCCCGGATATTGGGAGGGTAAACCGCATGAGTTCTTCATAATGACAAGGTGAGCTCAAACAAATGACCGTACTTCGATCCTGAATGCGCATTTCGGAGACAGCATACATGGATAGCGTGAAATTCTATTCCTAGCTAACAAAGAGTGTTTTGTTATCTGATACTAGGTTCGAAACTGTAGTTTAGAGCGTAGTATCACACCAGAAATAACATAACATTCCATGAAATCAAATGATTTCGTCGAAGAAAATTTTTTTTCGCTGAATTCTGTTTTTCTTATTCAATGACACTGGGTTATTTTAAATATCTGTCGTTGTTAAATGCTTACGTGCAATTAGTACGTTTTAACTCTTTTTACAGCATAGAATTATGTACGAAATGGTTAAAAATTCAGACGAAACAGTCTGCAAAATTAGAACGAACTTTTACCAGGAAAATATTTGTCAAAATTATGTTCGCTCGGATAAATTTAAAATATATACAAATTAATACCCTGATGTTTTAAAGTACTGCCACAATACAAGCAAATAAAAATAAACTTTATTTTGAGATTTGATTTTAAATTCTCCTGGAATGCAAACAAGCGATTTTTGATAAAGTTGGCAAACAAACAGGTGGAGAAATAAATAATGTTATTTACACTAATTTTACACATGATTTTAAAAAGTCAGAAATAGAACTTTAAATGTCCCAAAAAGTCCAACTAGGCAGCTGACTGGTTATACTGCGTTGTATTAACCAGACGTACACCACACATCGAACAAATGCCTTTCTTGAATGCACACTGTTGACAGTAATAGGAACCTGGCTGATGTACGGTTTGAGCACATATTCTGCATCTTGGGAACGCATTAGAGTAAGGACTAAATCGATTTTTGGAACTAGTTAGTAGTTTATTTTCATTAAGTTTCCTCCCACCACCACTGACTGTGTTCCGTGCACCAGCTTTCCAGGGATCAGGAGTTATTACTTTGCCCAGTTTCTTCTCGCCTGTCAATCAAAATTTGATACGCAAAACTCGACTTACACTTTTCGCAAACCATCTGTGTTGCTGAGACACTGAGTCTGCGATGTTTTTCCTCAGCGTGTTGTGGATTTTCGGTAAGGTACTATTTAACAAATTGATAACGTCAAAATCACTAAGCTGAGTAACTACAGGACATTATTTTACAAAGGGTGAGGATAAAAACGAATATCCTTATGGAGTAAATCTTAATAAAGGTTTAAATGCAAAACAAAATGAGCAAATGACAGGATGGCAGACAGTTTAAGTGTAGTGTCACAAAGTAAGAATTGGTATTTTATCATAATTAAGTAACTTCTATTATTAATTTTCTAATGACGACGAGCGAGACATTAAGAATCAAGTTAGCACACATAAGAAGATACAACGTACCAGCATCTTTCGAGGGGTTACCAAAACAGATGTCATACATAAGTCTATTAATGCACAGAATTTATTTGGTTGATGCTTTCATAATATATGAAGAAACAGTGCGGAGAGATGTGGAATATATTAATAGTTTTTTTCATATGAAATTGGTGTTTGCAGTTTTATTAAGGTTGTTAACAAATCACACTGGTATCACGTATATAGTGGGATACTAGGACTTGAAGACTTGATGCGACGAACCATCTAAGTGTGAAATCTATGAGTTTGATTTTGAGCCTTTAAGTCTTTTAGAATATACGTAAGCATACTACATTATTACTTTGTTCTGTGGTAAGACACTTCGTATGAACTTCAGAATCCCACTAAAAACAGTACAGATCCACTAACAACGTTGAAACAATATCCTTGCTTCCGACTCACTCGAGTAACAATGAGTTCGTTTTGTGGTACCCTTTTACGTATTGACTGACACTTGTGCTCATAGTGTTTTAAACCTTAATCTGACTACAGTGGTTGGTAGTACTCATAAATGTGGACAACCAAACTGTTTGTTCCCTGTGGATGAAGGAATGCAGTGTGATGAGTGCAAAAAGTGGTTCCATAAGATGTGTACCCGTTTAGGTCCCACCGCATACAAAAGATGCTCGAAGCCTAACTCGCATTGACTCTGCATGTTTTGCTGTGCAAATAAGACATTACTAATGCAGGAGGCTATGAGCCTATTGACCCTAGCCTATAAGAGCAACGATGGCGCATGCACTGATAACATGAGCACTGATAGTGAAGAGCGTGTCAGTGTACGTACAGTTACGAGATGCTTCAAACACCCGACTGTGATTGACAGAAAAGTGAAATCTCCGTTAACATTAACGAGAAGGGAAGTATTGCCTGACATTGACTTTGTTAATCGTGCACCTCTAGTGGGAATTCAAGATCCGGATAAGGCCGTCACTGTTCAAAATAGTCCCGTTGTCCTGAGGGATGGAAAATGGACTACTGTACGGAGAGAACGAAACGAAAAAATGCTGTAGACAGTACGCAGCTGGTTAGAAAGTCATTGGTGGACTCCCTTTGTGAGTCACAAAATGCACTACCAAAATCTGATAGTAAGAGGGAAACCCAACCTGGTGCGATGACTGGGAAGGAGAATCTAATCTCATAGAATATTATTGTGAGAAAATTGCTGGAGTCGAACGAACCTGATTCCAAAATTAGACACGCACATGATTTGGAGAAACTGGGAGAATATATTCGTAGTATCTTACCAAATAACTTTAAAGCAGTTCAGGTAAAAAAAACCTGGTTAGAATAGGTAAGAGGACCGAGGAAAACGTTGAACCCCGACCATGCAGACTCCTTAAGGTAATCCTAGAGTCGGAGAAGCAACGTGATCTCCTGTTAAGTAGCGCTCGTAGTCACGACAATTCAGACATCCGAGTTAGACCTGATATATCTCTTGAAGATTGAATAAAAAGGAAGAAGGAAGCACAACTGAACTAGAAACCCGTCGACAAAACGTTGAGGAAAATCTCCGGTTAGTGGGTTTTCGGAGAGTCAGGTCTTGGAAGCGAATGCTACCAAGGCCTATGTGGATAGGCCGTTCTATCTAGGCGTTTCATATGCCAACGCTCGTAGTCTAAGAAATAAGTTCTATGAACTAGAAGCATTAGTGGACAAATTAAGGCCACTCATTGTAGCAGTGACAGAAGCTTAGTTAGTCCGCGACTTAGACATTACTCCACAATTATCCGGATACCATTACCTAAGGAGTGATCGACATAGATGTAGAAAGGGAGGACGCGTCCTTTTATATATAGCTCCTCTGCTAGCGAATCCCATGATAGCGGTGCTTGTGAAGTTTATTTATTTATTTTAACACATAGATATTGGTACAAGGAGGCACAAAAAACATGTGCACCATTGGTTTGGAATCACGGTTTTCCAACTCTCCTAGGTGGACTCTCCATGTCCACCAACCCGATTAAAGCGCCGGACATTCGCTTTTCGTCCTCTCAATTTCGTAAACACCACCACCACGAGAAGGCAATGAGTAGGACTTCCCTGGCAGGGGCTATATACGCGTGACCATGTGAGGGCATTTCGAGAGGGAGAGCAGACTATCCCCACTCTCGGCCGTACAAGGGCATTTGGGGGCCGTGAAGTCATTAGCTGTAAATTGACTATCGGATGTGGTACATTTATTCTCGGCGTCATCTAACGCAGACCAATCTGCTTAGCTGATGACTTTATTTTAGAGCACATTCAACTATGGAGTGCAAATATCAGATGCTTGATAATAGGAGACTTTGTTGCACCTGATATTAGTTGGACCGAGATGACCACGGAAGGATCTATAAACTACTTTGATAACAGGATCCTGATAAAGATAACAGAGCATGCATCCAAACCCATACGTTTAGGTTCTTCCCTGTTGGACTTGGTAATCACTCATGAGACTGAGGATATTGTATACCTAAATATTCTTCCACCGTTAGTGAACACCGATCACGCTGTCTTGTCATTCACGTTTAGAACTAGGGACAAGATATACGACCAAGTTACACCCCGCTCAAATGTACCGAAAAAGCTGAAGCTTTATCAGAATATTTCAGTAGTGTTTTTTATCAGTAATGTAGAACGACCAACGATTCATTGTGATTGTGGCAACTCGCTGATAGACGCTGTAGTCATTGAGAAAGGTAATGTCTTAAGGAAACATCAGCATCTCAAACCTGATAAGTCCAATGGTTCTGATGATATTCATCCTAGGATTATGAAAGCCACATCAGATGTAATTGCTGAACCACTAGCAATACTGTTTGCCATGTCTCTGAGGCAGTCCTGACTGCCAAGAGACTGGAAATACTCTATAATAAGTCCGCTGTATAAGGCTGGGAGTAGGGATTTAGCTAGTAACTATAGGCCCGTTAGCTTAACTAGTGAGGTAGTAAAACCAATGGAAAAAATCATTCGAATATCTGTTATAAACTATGTTGAAGGGCATAATCTTTTCTCCAGGGAACAACATGGTTTTCGGAGAGGCATATCATACTTGACAAATCTTCTCATTGCAAGAGAAGATTGGGCTGCGGTAAAAGATCGGAATATTCTTGTAGATGTGATCTTCATAGATCTAAGTAAGGCCTTCAATAAGGTCTCCTATTCTGGTCTTAAATTCAAACTGTAACGTTTTGGAATCCATTATACAGTTGCAGATTGGATAAGTAACTTTCTAAATGACAGGAGACAAAGGGTAAGGGTTAATGTAGCTCTCTCCTTGTGCGTACCTGTAAACAGTGGAGTTCCCCCAAGGTACAAGAAAATGAGTGGTAGGTTCATTAGTTCGTTACTGTAACTCGTCAACAAAAAGAGATAGAGCAGTAAATAATAGGTCAGGATATAGCTTGAGACTGCAGCTAAATGGACAAAAATGCTATTAAATATTAAAAACACGAAATAAATCCTCACATATAAATAAGGAGATCCTAAACACTTTTCGCAACTCTTCTTTACAAATCTTGCTTATAAACAGAAGTCTCTCTAATATTCTCCAGAAATCTATACAGAATCGGAGGATAGTGAAAATACTCTCAGAATAGAATTTATCCAGTCTAATAAGTTGCAAAGCCAGATATAATCGCAGTCACAGAAACCTGGCTGGCACAGTCTACAGATAGTATGGAACTTGATTTCGAGGGTTTTATGTTAGTAAGGGCCGACAGAATACAAAAGTATAAAGGATGGGAGTAGCTCTATTCATTAGGAATGCCATCCCACTCACCATTATCGACAGTGTATTCCACGAGAGTGGGACGTGTGAATTAGTTAGTTGCCGCGCGAAATGCAAGGGACAAGAGCTGCTGATTAATTTGGTCTATCACAGTTCAAGCTGTGAGGTAAATGAGGTCCAATGGTAGACTGGGAAAATCTGCCAACCGAATCGTCAGAAAATTCCTTCGAGCAGGAACTAGTTGATGCGGTTATCACATGTGCCCTAGTACAACATTTGAAAGAAGCGACTAGGTACGACCCAGACACTGAATCATCCTTACTAGATCTTATATTGACTCACTATGAGGATGACGTTGCGAACCGCTATTACATGCGAACCCTAGGTAAAAGTGATCACGCAGTTTTAACTCTCAACTTCCATATAACTGTCACTCACGAGCACGCGTTAGCTCAATTCAGACATACCAGATATCGTGCACTCAGCATTGTTAGTAGATTGGACAATAGACCCAGAGTCCTCAATTGAAACGGCTTGGGACACATTTCGAAATTTATACTTAAGTTACTGCACCCCACATCCCTTGGACAACACCAAGGGGGCCGAGAAACTCTCCACTGTGGTTCAGCAGAGAGGTTCGCATCCTTCTTCGTAAGAGAAGAAAAATGTGGGGTACATTTAGGTTACTGAGGACTGATGAGACAAAATCTCAGTATCGAAAGGCTCGGAATACCTGTGCCTCGACCCTCCGTTAGTCTAGAAAGTTGTACGAAGAGAAAATTGTTAAGGAATCCATAGAATGTCCCAAACGCTTGTATTCTTATATAAACCAAAAGACAAAAAGAAATATTCCTGCACTATGGGGAGACAGTACTGCCGCATCATTGGTGGACGACTTTGGTAAGGCTGAAGTGTTCTCGAATTACTTTAGCAATGTATACACCATAGAAGCACCCTTCCCGTCAGCGCATACAAATCTCCCCGCACACACACACATTAAAGAATTCGATGTCTTTGGTCTGCTAAATAAGCTTGACACAGGTAAATTCACGGGGCCCGATGAATTGCATCCTAGGCTACTGAAGGAATTATCTAACTTCGTTGAGAATATGATTTGCGCATACGATTCAATCTATCTGTAACGCAGAGTCGTTTAACGAAAGATTGGAAGAACGCCATAGTAACTCCTGTCTTCAAAACAGGTACGAAACATAAACCTGAGAATTACCGACCCGTTAGCTTAACTAATGTGGTTGTTAAAATCTCAGAAAAAATTATTCGGAAGTTGTTTAAGTTTCTCGATGAAAATTGGATCCTTTCAGAAAAGCAGCACGGTTTCAGAATAAGTTATTCTTGTCTGGCTAACTTATTATTGACATAGGTAAGTCATTGATGAAAGCTGTTGCGTTCTTAAGGACCAAAAGTTACCTGTAGACGTAGCCTACATTGATTTCAGCAAAGTTTTTGACAAAGTTCCACAAAACCGGCTGCTACATAAGCTAATAAATGTTGGAATTGGAGGCAATCGATTGATGTGGATAAAAGACTTCCTAGTTAGGCGCCAACAGGGTACGAGTGAACTCAAAGTTATCTAGCTGAGAAACTGTGCTTAATAGAGTGACCAGGGTACAGTTTTAGGTCGTGTTATTCCTCTTGTATGTAAATGACATTCCACGTCTCCTATTATCATCGGTCTTGCTATATGCTGACGATGTCAAGATGTGGAGAATGATACGATGTAAGGGTGATAGCTTAGAACCCCAAAATGACCTGAAGAAATTATCAGAATGGTCTCAAACATGGTAGTTGCCGATAAATACATCCAAGTGTGTTGTGATGCATATCGGTCATCAAGGTACAGATACATACACGATTAATAACACTGAGCCACTGAGTCCAGACACACAATGACTTAGGAGTCATCGTTAGCCAAGACTTAAAGACTACTGCGCACTGCCGTGCAATAGCCGCCAAAGGTTTTAAAACCATATGGTCAATACATAGTGTTTTTAGTCAAATCGACGCTAAAACGTTTTTGACTTTGTATACAGTGTTCGTACGTCCTAAACTTGAGTACTGCATACAAGCATCTAGCCCCTGCTTAAAAAGACAGTGAGCTTCTGAAAAAGGTTCAGAGAACAGGAACTGAGCTGATCCCCGGAATAGCGAAGCTTCCGTATTATGCTCGACTGGTCAAGCTAAACCATTTCCTGTTGTCATATCGTAGAACTAGAGGCGACTTACCTAGTGATAAATTTGCACCTGATATGCCCTCATTTTTATTGTCTTCCAAAACAGAGAATTTACGAGGACACTCCAAAAAAGTTCACAAGCCCAGAACGAATTACTTGTCAGCTGAATATCGACTTTCCCATCGAATCACAACCGAGTGGATTTCATTATCTCAGCACGTGGTTGAGGTTTCATCCGTCGATTCTTTCGAAAGAAAGTTGGATCAACTGAGAGACCACCATTGCCAGGACTAAAACAGGCCATCAAGCCTCTTGTCCTTTCCAAACTGAAACTGATAATGACAGTTTACGAGACGGGTAAGCGTTCTCCTTTTGACATGTGCACAAATTCAATTTGAATAACACTAACGACATTTAGTACTATCACAGATATTACACATCTTCAAATATTCACTTAGAAAGATGTATTACAACGTTATACTGACAGCCAGGTAGACTCAAAATCCTTAAAAATCAAGAGTTAAGAGGTCTGAAAAGACTACTAAAATAAAATTCGGTAGACAACTCCCACCAAACTTGGTCAATATATCGTCTGTATAAGCATGGATAACCACAGATAAAAAAAAGCAATGAGCATTAGCACAAATAACATGAGTCGATGACATCGTAATAATAGTTTTGAAATTAAGTGTCGAATCGGTCTTCGGTAATTATTTTGCTGGTGAGCCAGTTTATCAACAGATTCATAGAAAAGAAATAAATTTCCTCAGACATTACATGACAATATGCAACCAGAATATAATATTAAAAGTCATATGCCTATTCATAGTCAGCACTAAAGTAAAAGAATCTAGTCTTTCGGAAGGACGCTTTCTTAATAATAAATAATTCAGAACTCTTAATGACTAATGGTAAGCTTTCGACTTTTATTTAGGACACTGAACTCAAGTCAACCGTACCGTATCGCAAGACACAAACAATCCGCTGTTTTATGCAATGTTCAATACCTATGTTATCAGCCAATATTTAAAGTGTTTAAGTTTACAGTTGATGGAAATAGACAAACTTCAACCAAACGTTTTCGCATTAAATTAGCAATATTTATTATGCGATGACAAACAACATGACTCGCTCTTAGAATTATTATGTTAAACACAAAAATAATGAATAGAGCAAGAACAAACATTGATGCAGAATAGTATGAATTCATATTATTTCGAGGTTTCTCGTCAGCTGCTTACAAACCAAAATTGTGATAGAATTTTTACATGGAGATAGTGTGAAAACATTTGACATAAATGAGTGTAAATAACTGGATTACAATAATAACTATATATATATATATGCTAGAAACAGGTCAGAGGTCAAAAGAGAGGGGGTTAATCCAGGGTGGGTGGTGTAATAATTTAGTGAAGTTCATAAATTGTGTGATAATTGTAGAGATTAATGGAATTAAATAATGATAAGGTAGATTACGTAATAATAATTAAATAGAATTTGGAAAGTTAAGATAATTTAAGAGGATCAGGTGGTGGAAATGTGTGAATAAAATTTATTTTAAAAATTAGGTAATGGGGGGGAGTATAAAATATCTTAGAATAAGTAAATGAAAAAATAACCAAAACACAAAACAAACAGAAACAAAAAGATTACCAGGGTAGTGATAAGTTTATTAAAGTCTCTTTTTGAATGCATAAATCCGGTTTCAGTTTCTTAATTGCAATGGCTTCAGCAAAGCGGAGAGTGGTAGTAGTTCTTTGTCTATTGATAATTTTAAACGCGCGCATAATATCGACGGTATGCCCGGTGTCAAGTAGATGCCGAGCTATTGCACTGTTAAAAGCTTTAGTCCCTCGCAGCGTCAAGTTCTTCGGAATATGCTCAGAAATGCGAACCTGTACTCTTCTCTCAGTTCTTCCAATGTATGTGCTACGGCACGTACATGTGAATTGGTAAATGCAGTTGGAGCAACTGAGGGGAGAGGACTTGTCGATCTTCGTTTGTTTCAGTGAGCAGTATGTTTTCCATAACGTAGTCAGTTTGGCTGCCGGGTAGGTCACTTTTAAAGCGGAATTAATTCTGTGATTGATAATTCCGGCGACTTCATCTCCTTTGAAGCACAAGGATAGGAAGCAGGTTTTCTTTTCAACTGTATCATGCTTAATCGGATGGTTTGTATTAGCATATTTGTGGATGAATTTATCCGGATATGCATTTTCACGTAGGCATTTGATGATTGTAGTAATTTCTTCTTCGAGGCATTCTTTTGAGCAGATTTTTCGTGCGCGGTCAAAAAGGTTTCGCACAATACCCTTTTTATAACTTATTGGACAGAAGCTGTTAAAATTGAGATAAATTCCGCTCCAAGTATTTTTGCGGTGAATGTGTCTTTGTAGTATGCCGTCTGATGTTCGCCTAATTCCAATATCTAGGAAATGGAATTTATCATCAGCTTCGTGTTCCATGGTGAATTCTATATCTTTATGTACTTTATTGAACAGACTAAGTAGGTACCTGGAGTGTTGGTGATTTTTGCAGACAAGGAACGTGTCATCCATATATCTGCAGTAGAGAGTGGTACTGTCAATTGCGTGCTTCAGTTTCTTTTGTTCCAGATGTCCCATAAATATGTCAGCAAGAATTGGGCCTAGAGGGCTGCCCATTGCTATTCCATCAATCTGTCGGTACAGAACATTGTTAAATTTAAATTGTATGTTTTTTGTACACAAAAACAGGAGCTGTTTAAATTCCTGGGGTGGTAAAGGCAGGAGTTCTGGATATTCACATATGATCGCTGCCGTTTCTTCTAAGGGGATATTTGTGAAAAGCGAAGAGACATCAAATGAAACCATGAATTTGTCAGAGACATTAAGGTTATCAATTTTTTGTATAAATTCAAAGCTGTCTTTCAAACTGTAGGCTGCTAGTTTTTTTCGGATTGGTTCCAAGCATCTGGTAAGCCAGCGGGCAAGTTTATGGAAGGGTGATTTGGCCATCGATAATATTGGTCTTATAGGGGTGTCGGGTTTATGTGTTTTGGGTAGCCCATATAAATATGGCAATTGTGACCCTTTTGGTTTGAGTTCGTTATACGTATGAATATCTATTAGATTTTTCTTAACAAGTTCTCTCAACTTTCTTAAGACACGTTTCTCTGTCGCATCTGTTAAGTCTTTCTGGGTATTGTCGATGATAAATCTGGTGGAGTTATTTAAAATGGACATTACCTTATTGATATATTCATCTCTGTTGAGAATGACTACACTGGAACCCTTATCCGGACGAAGTAGCATTATTGTTTCGTCTTTAATAAGTTTTTCCAGTGCTTGATGGTGATCTTCGGTGAAAACCTTTGAGTGTGGGATTGGTGTCGTAACATACTGGTTTGTGATATCCACTAATTTAGATTTAAACCAACTATGCTTTTCGTCGTTCATGGGTTTAAGGTCTGATAATTGTTGATATAAATATTCAAACTGGGTCTCAGTGTCTATTCTGTTGCATTTTCTTGGGATATGAAATTTGAATCCAAGGCAGAGTGCTTCAGTTTCAATTCGACTTAGTTTTTTATTAGATAAGTTCTGTATGTATTTTCGTGGATTGGTAGGAAATGCCAAGTGGTTTTGTTCTTTAACAAGTGTTTTGGTTAAGGTCTTCATGAATTTGTGACTGGTTTTCGACTGAACATCACGAATGAAGTTAGTAAGTTTAATACGACATACAATATTTAAATCCATAACAATTTTGTCATAACCAAAAGATTCTATTTTAAGTTTGGAGATAAGATCCTTAGTGCATTCAATTTGGGATTTGGTGACTCGTCGAAGATTTTTTAACGAAGGAGGTATTTTACAGGCGCGGACAGCTTTAATAATGTGACGAGGAAAACAGCCATCATTAAGGCAACGTGACAAAAATTTTAATCTTGTTGTTTCTCTCGATATCCTGCAACGAATTGTCACCAACTTGTTGAGTGACTTGAAAATGTGAACAGGGAGACGGCTTTTCAGAAATTTCATGCAATTGGTTCCCTTTATGAATTTGAATAGAGCAAGAACAAACATTGATGCAGAATAGTATGAATTCATATTATTTCGAGGTTTCTCGTCAGCTGCTTACAAACCAAAATTGTGATAGAATTTTTACATGGAGATAGTGTGAAAACATTTGACATAAATGAGTGTAAATAACTGGATTACAATAATAACTATATATATATATATGCTAGAAACAGGTCAGAGGTCAAAAGAGAGGGGGTTAATCCAGGGTGGGTGGTGTAATAATTTAGTGAAGTTCATAAATTGTGTGATAATTGTAGAGATTAATGGAATTAAATAATGATAAGGTAGATTACGTAATAATAATTAAATAGAATTTGGAAAGTTAAGATAATTTAAGAGGATCAGGTGGTGGAAATGTGTGAATAAAATTTATTTTAAAAATTAGGTAATGGGGGGGAGTATAAAATATCTTAGAATAAGTAAATGAAAAAATAACCAAAACACAAAACAAACAGAAACAAAAAGATTACCAGGGTAGTGATAAGTTTATTAAAGTCTCTTTTTGAATGCATAAATCCGGTTTCAGTTTCTTAATTGCAATGGCTTCAGCAAAGCGGAGAGTGGTAGTAGTTCTTTGTCTATTGATAATTTTAAACGCGCGCATAATATCGACGGTATGCCCGGTGTCAAGTAGATGCCGAGCTATTGCACTGTTAAAAGCTTTAGTCCCTCGCAGCGTCAAGTTCTTCGGAATATGCTCAGAAATGCGAACCTGTACTCTTCTCTCAGTTCTTCCAATGTATGTGCTACGGCACGTACATGTGAATTGGTAAATGCAGTTGGAGCAACTGAGGGGAGAGGACTTGTCGATCTTCGTTTGTTTCAGTGAGCAGTATGTTTTCCATAACGTAGTCAGTTTGGCTGCCGGGTAGGTCACTTTTAAAGCGGAATTAATTCTGTGATTGATAATTCCGGCGACTTCATCTCCTTTGAAGCACAAGGATAGGAAGCAGGTTTTCTTTTCAACTGTATCATGCTTAATCGGATGGTTTGTATTAGCATATTTGTGGATGAATTTATCCGGATATGCATTTTCACGTAGGCATTTGATGATTGTAGTAATTTCTTCTTCGAGGCATTCTTTTGAGCAGATTTTTCGTGCGCGGTCAAAAAGGTTTCGCACAATACCCTTTTTATAACTTATTGGACAGAAGCTGTTAAAATTGAGATAAATTCCGCTCCAAGTATTTTTGCGGTGAATGTGTCTTTGTAGTATGCCGTCTGATGTTCGCCTAATTCCAATATCTAGGAAATGGAATTTATCATCAGCTTCGTGTTCCATGGTGAATTCTATATCTTTATGTACTTTATTGAACAGACTAAGTAGGTACCTGGAGTGTTGGTGATTTTTGCAGACAAGGAACGTGTCATCCATATATCTGCAGTAGAGAGTGGTACTGTCAATTGCGTGCTTCAGTTTCTTTTGTTCCAGATGTCCCATAAATATGTCAGCAAGAATTGGGCCTAGAGGGCTGCCCATTGCTATTCCATCAATCTGTCGGTACAGAACATTGTTAAATTTAAATTGTATGTTTTTTGTACACAAAAACAGGAGCTGTTTAAATTCCTGGGGTGGTAAAGGCAGGAGTTCTGGATATTCACATATGATCGCTGCCGTTTCTTCTAAGGGGATATTTGTGAAAAGCGAAGAGACATCAAATGAAACCATGAATTTGTCAGAGACATTAAGGTTATCAATTTTTTGTATAAATTCAAAGCTGTCTTTCAAACTGTAGGCTGCTAGTTTTTTTCGGATTGGTTCCAAGCATCTGGTAAGCCAGCGGGCAAGTTTATGGAAGGGTGATTTGGCCATCGATAATATTGGTCTTATAGGGGTGTCGGGTTTATGTGTTTTGGGTAGCCCATATAAATATGGCAATTGTGACCCTTTTGGTTTGAGTTCGTTATACGTATGAATATCTA